CTCTAAAAGGTTCACCATCACTGGCATAGACATTTATTTTCAGTACCAGAGCTGGAACATTCAGAAAAATCCTTTTGCACACAAATCGACTCCTTTTCCTCCAAGTGTTTTTGATTTTGGAAGTCTAAATTAGGAGGGAAACAAGGTTTTAGTTTTTGTTTTTACTGTGAAGCTACTGGGATCAGAAATCCACACTGAAGCCATGCTTATCCTTGTGCTGAAACGAAGCCATTCTGGGTGCCAACACTGACATTGCTAACTTGAAACCAAACTTGAAACCAAATCACTCAAGCTGAGGTCATAGAATCATAAAGTTGCAAGAGACCACAAGGGCCATCCAGTCCAACCCCCCTGCCATGCAGGAACTCACAATCAAAGCCCTCCTGACAGATGGCCATCCAGCCTCTGGCAGCTTCTTCCACTGTCAAGCAGCTCTTACTTTTGGGAAGTTCCTCTTAATGTTTAGGTGGAATCTCTTTTCCTGTAGTTTGAATTCATTGCTCTGTGCCCTTGTCATCAGTTTGCTTAAAGACTTCATACCGTATATTTGAAACATGGGTAGGAATGGTCTGGTTAACTGTTGGACTGCCTCATATGTATGTTGTTGTTTTTTGCCTCCTAGGTCTCTTTGTCAGCAATGTCTTGGAGGAGGCTGAAGCGGTGGCTTTGCCCTTGGCCCTGGATACGGCTGGTTCTCTCCTCCTCCAGGCCCTTGTCCCATCTGCTTCATCGCCCAGCTTGTGCTGCTTCCTCCGGGCCTTGATCCCCTCCCTGCGCCTTGCCGCCTGCCACTCCTGTGGGGCCCACATCCTGGAGGCTGTCTTGCTGAGGGCCCCATTGCTGATCAAGGATGGAGCAGAGGATTCTGGGACGCTGGAGGACCTCATTCTGGAACTGGGAAGGGCAGTGCAGAAGGAACTCTCAGTTTTTGCTTTGGATGCCCATGGCAGTTTTGTGGTGCGGACGCTGCTGCAGGTGCTTGGAGGGGTCCGAGTTGGATCAGATGGGGGCCGGGGACTCCCGGGATTAGGTAAGTGTGGTCTGCTGGTACCATCTTTTCTAGATGGGCCAAACTCACTTGGAAGAAATGTTGCAGAATCAGAAGTTGAGAATACAGTGGGCCCTCCACATTCACAAGGGTTAGAGGCACAGACCCCCATAAAAGTGGAAAAACTGCAAATAAGAAAAACATTTTTTAAACCTAAGAGGACACCTCTCTAGGAATCTCTGGGTCCTCCAATGCAACTCTGTGGTCAACGTCTGCTGGATGTTTACCATAGAATTGTGCTGGAAGACCTACAAATGCCTAGAGAAGTGTTCTCTCTAGGAACCTCTAGGTCCTCCAGTGCAATTTCTAACAGATGTTGACCATAGAGTTGCATTGGAGGACCTAGAGATTCCTACAGAGAACATATTAATCAAATTCATGAATAATCAGATCTGCAAAAGTCACAGTCACAGCTATGGAGGGATGACTGTATTTTTTTGGAAAGTACCTCAAAAATTGTGAATTGATGTCTTCTTGTGGTATGCCTTCAAGCCATTTCCAACTTATGGCGACCCCAAGGCCACCCTATAATGTGGTTTTCTTGGCATGATTTGTTCAGAAGAAGTTTACCTTTGCCTTTCTCTGAGACTTGAGAGAGTGTAACTTGGAGGCACACAATACAAGCACAACAAACCTAGACTGGACATTTAATTGTTCTTATAATGCAGCTAATTTTCCTTTTCCTCACTTCTTTTTTCTTCTCCTGTTCTGTTTTGGAATATCATTAGGAATTTCAAGCTTTAGAGCCAAGCGAGTGAAAACAGAGAGCGATGGGCCTCTGGAATTTGAAGTCCCAGACTCCTTCTTTTCCCTCCTCCGTGAATTCAGCGAGTGCTTTCAGGAGCACATTTCAGGTGAGATGGCCCTGCTGAGCATATGGAACCACACAACTCTACCTTGGGATGCCTTTGAATGCTGGGGCCTGAAACTGGTGGTGGTTGGTCTTTTGTGCTGCCCTCAAAAGAGCACTGAGAGAGTAGAGGGAGTCCTCCCACTAAGGATTGAGTTCTCTTCTTTCGTCACTCTAGTCAGAGAAGCAGATGGTTCCTTTTTTGATAAGAGTTAGAGTACAGTACTTACACTGACCCATGGATAAGTCGACCCAGGTTTTTTGCCTTGATTTTTTGACTAACATTTGTAGACTTATACATGAGTATATACGTCATCTTCTCTGTCTCTCTTCCTCCAGATTTTATTACAAACAAATATTTTAGCCTCTGCCTCCAAGTGGCACTGGAGGTCTTGCACCGGAAACTGCCCGACGTCTGTTCAGAACTGTGCCACTCAGTGATCAGCTATCTGAGCTCCTGCAACCCGGCTGCTGGACAGAGGTGAGCCATATGATTGGCTGTGATGAGGGCAGTTGGAGGAGTCTTGGAATCAATGGACATCTTTATAGTTGCAACATGGTGTGCAACTGCATGGGAACCATGGGTCAGTCCCCCCTCTCCCTCTGCCAACTGCACCCCACTAACACTGCTTCCCAGTATTTGTGTCCTTCCCAAAAGGCCAGCAGGAAGTGGCAATCTCTGCTACCTCTGCACTGATTCTGGTCTTGATGTTATTGTGGGGAGCCAGCATTGTGTAGTAGTTTCAGTGTTGGACTATGACTCTGGAGACCAGGGTTCAATTCCCAGCTTGGCCTTGAAACCCACTGACCTTGGGCAAGTCACACCCTCTCAGCCTCAGGAGAAGGAAATGGTAAACCTCACCTGATATTTGGTCCTGATATCTGGAGCCATATCCCCTGTCTTTTCTATGAAAGCCATGCAGGTATTTGCAGGTTGCTGTCTTGCCACTCTCGATCTTCTTTTCCATTAGCCAAACAAGCCCAGGTCTTCCAAATGTTCCTCATTTGGACAACTGAGAAATGTCTGGCCTGCCAGATGCTGTTGGAGTGCGACTCCCATCAACCCTAGCAAGCCTAGCCCATAGTGAGGGCTGTTGGGAGTTGTAGTCCACCCACATCTGGAGGGCCACACATTCCCCACCTTGCCATAGGTCTTTGTTTTCTCTCACAACACCACCTACACTTCCCTTTATTAGTTATGGACTCCTTTGGTTTGTGTTTTTTTTATTGGTACAGGGCCTGAATTGGTTGGCGTTGAGGACTTCCTTGAGGTGGATCTGTGGGTGTAGTGTGGGAGTGGCGTTGCTCCTGGATCATCTTTAATAATAATAATAATAAATTTTATTTTTACCCCGCCTTTCCATAAATATGATCAAGGCGACTTACAAAGAATTAAAACAGTAAAAAAGTTAAAATTGTTACAATATAAAAGTTAGGAACACAACAATCAGGGGTCAATAAAAAACACATGGGGTAGAGGGGAGGAAAAAAAAACAAACCAGTACCATTACTTAAGGTGGAAATGCCAGCTGAAATAGATACG